TTGCAATGGCACTGCTCACCTACCTTGTTTGCTAACACCACCACAGTTCACTTTCCTTAGGCAAGATTTCTCTAGCGTCACTGCTTTGTGTTCTCCTTCCTTTTGCTATAGAAACACCGCTAAATCCAGGAAAACTCAAGCTAATAAATCCAGAAAGAAAACATGATTTTTGTTCAATTATATTGTTTACTATTTTTCCCCTCAATAAATATTTTTTCCCATAACAGTCTTCTAATAACACTGGATTTTAGATGCAACAGGCATGCTTCCAAAAAAACTCCTAGGAACTGCTGACACCAAGAACAAGGGCACTGCTGCATATCACCAGGAGCTGAATCATTGTATTGGAGTTGATAAAATTATGCTGGAAATAAGCATCTGAGCAGGATGCACAGCCCACAGACAGCTCTGCAATGACAACAAGCAGCCTATTCCCAACACCTAATTTTTTATTCTTTTTTCCCTCTACACTTCCAAACAAATTACAAAGCCCTCCCTGGGGAGGAAAGTGCTGATCAAGGGAGTGTGAGGAAAACAGATGCTAACTCCATAGGACAACTTGTAGAAACAGGAGTCCGCTACTCAGCTCAGTGAGGTGAAAGTATTTCCCTGGCTACACATCTCCCCAGTGACACCTCCAGGAGAAACAGGTCCTGCCAGCACACAGCTTTGCTTACCTTCTCAGGGGACTCCTGGGAGTAGGGGCGTGTCACCCCTTGCCCCTGTGTCGGACATCAGTGCTGGGCCTGGACTGTTTGGCTTGGCAGGACTGATTTTTAGCCAGAGCAGTCTTAATGGTCTGGCTAACTCTACCTGCAAGTCCTGCTGCTTTGGTGACAGAAGCAAGTAACGGTGACGTGGTCCAGACTGTCCTTCCACAGTTCTAGTATGGTTGAAGACCCTCCTAAAACTGCACGCTTGGAAGTAGTGCACCCTGAGGCAAAATCCAAACTGTGAACAAATAACAAAATTGCATGTGTATGTCTATGTCTGCTGTGGATCCCAGTTCAGGGATCTTGCCCTCATCTGTTCATGCTGCTCAAAGCTCTGTCACCACAAGTTTACGCCTTAGCATTTGCCCTGGCTAATCCCCTGGCTATGCTATTTTCTGCCTCTTCCATTCCTGCATGAGGCTCTTACCATTCCTTTTTCTCTTTTCTTCTTTGTATGAATCAACTGAAACAACTTTTCTGCCAGTTTGCAGTTCTCTGCAAATCTTTTATATTGACTCACGTTCAGAGAAACATTTCAGATGTTCCTCTCATACTTATTGACAGCTCTCAGTTTAAAGTCATAGGACTGTGGGAATTTCAGCTTGCTTCTTTTTTTTAAAGGTTACTTTCTAGACCTCCTGCTTGTAAAGAAAATCCTGACAGTGTCACCTGTAAAAAACAGATAGCAAATAATTTATTTTTAAATAATGTGGGCATCAAGCCATTCTCAAGAAAACTACAGTTTCTGAATAGTGGGAGATGATAACTCAAAGTGCAAACTTATCTTTCTTTTCTTTCTTCACTTATATTCAGCAAGTGTTTTTTTTTCTCTCTATTAATTCTGTCCCTTTGTCTTTTCACACAGAACCCTGTAACAGAATCCTTGCTAACATTCAGTTCATTTTCTTAGCTCTGACAGCTCATTTTTATATCTGTATTTTCAATTTTCAGTTTTTTAAGACTATTGAAGATCCTGTACAGATAGCACATTTGACTGAAAACATTGTATTTTATGACTATTTATGTCATTTTAATGTCTTTTTCTATTACTTAAACTAATAGTCCATCAAATAATGTACAGCCAGTATTAAACTTGACAAAAATTAAATGAAGCTTTAAGACTTCCGTGTGGATTTTAGACAGGATACTTTGCTTTTCCTGTCTTTTCCTTGTGTCTGATATAATTACAAAGGCATTATTTCAATTTTACTTTTTCAAGCTATGTACCTACAGGTGACTGCATTCTCTCTCACCAGTGTTGTTCAGTACTGCCCATGAGCAGTACCTTCTGTTTCGCTCTTTCTTTTTTGCCTGTTACTTAGCACTTCTAAGACATTGATCTTCATGCATAATTTGAATACTACTTATACTGTTTTGTGAAACAATAAAAATGACCAGCATTAAAAGTTTCTGAGTAGACAACCTCAAGCAAGAAGGCAAAGAAAGTTCTCTAAATCTCGAGATCAGCTGGAGCTGGAGTCTGCACTCCCTTTAGGCTGTACTACCACCCATCGGCCTAAAGCAGAATCTACAAAAGCAGTGCAGTGGACAAAGCCACCACCCTGCTGTTGCAGCACAGCAGGACACAGTAACCCAGGCCTACAGGACTGAGAATTCCAGCAGTTGAAGACTCCTCATTCCCCATGGATTTAGCTGCAGTGGCTAGAGAGATTACCAACCCCCGTGCAGAAAGAGTGTCCTCTTTGACCATAGCTACATCTACTGGGGATTTTGGCTTTTCAAGGCAGGGATTCTGTCTGGGCATATGGGATTTTCTTGGTAGCTGGTCCAAGATTAGAACTTTTTTCTACACAGACTGAAGAAGCTTAGAAATGTCATCACTTAAAAACCTTTTTTTTTATTTTTTCTCTTAAGTGAACCTGAAAATATTTACCATTTTCAAATGTAAAGTTCCCTTCATAGATGTAGATGCAAATTATCTTACTCTTCTTTCTAATTCTGGAAAGTCTTTCACTCAGGATCACTCTCTACAGTGAGATCTTAGTATCTGGAAACAGTTCCTGTGCCAGACAGAATCCAAATTAAGACTGCTACTAATTTCTTAGTATTGCAGGTAAAACTACTTAACTTTGAAGGTTATTGTCAGTAGAAGTAATGAACTTCTATGGATTTTGAAAACACCAATTAATCCAGTGCATCTTGAAATCTTTAAACACAATTTATTTTATTTGGTCAGATAAATAATTTAATCTGTTCCTTTTCACGTCAGTAATGTGCATCCTTCTAACATTTCTTTAGGCTTTATAGCACCTACAGTAGCATTGCTCAAGAGTGGAACAAAATGTGCAAGTCCAAAACTAATTAAATACAAATAGTGGATCTTGTCAGCATTATGAGAATGCCTTAATTTTTTAACTTTTCTAGACTATAGTTCACAGATGAACTGTAACCTTGTTATTCTGTATCAAGTATAAAAAAAAAGCGCCACAATTTATTTATCATCTGTACTTTTATAGCATTTCCTTAATAAATCTTCCATGTACCATCCATTACTTTCAGTAATAAAAATATTTTGGAGCATTTACAACATACAGAAATTGCATCATTTTTGTTTGTGGTGTGCTTTGAAGATATCTTATATTTTCCTAATAACCATTTAACACAAATACCCACTTCAGAACATGTGAACTTTTTCTCTTATTAACATGAAAAACAGTCAGCTGCACAAGCATGCTGAGATCTTTATTATTTTAATACTTTAAATTATATGATGTTTAGAAATAATTGTATTTTAGTTCCATTCCACAGAAGGCAAAGTTGTTATTTGAGCAGTTGATTTATGTAATTAGAAAGCTATTCTAAAGTTATTTTTTGTAATGTATTAGTGTATTTAACAGCATTTGGCTGTAACCTTATGTTGTTACACCAAGTTCTAGCTGCGAAAGCTATTCTAAAGTTATTTTTTGTAATGTCAGTATTAGTGTATTTAACAGCATTTGGCTGTAGCCTTATGTTGTTACACCAAGTTCTAGCTGTGTCATTTCATTAGATTTCACCATGGAGTGATAAACCTTCAAGGATTATTTATGCCTAAACTGAAAGGTACCATACCTTTTGGAAACACAACTGTTGCTGCAGTGGAACAGCTAAATAGTGGAAGATTTAGCTATTGATGAAAGCACGGAGTATGGGGGGCAGGGGGGAGCCCTTCTTCAAAGTTAAATGTCTGTTTCTTTCCGCATGTTTGCATGTAATTATTTTTCTAGACTCTTTATGTTAAGTGCTTTTCGAGCCTATTAATTTTGACTTCACAATCTTTGTTTTAATTTTTACTAAACCTTGCTTCAAAAACAGTTTAGAACCTGGTTCCTCTGTTGTTGGGAGACAAGACCATATGGTTTTCAAAGCTTTATCTATTAATATATAATCCTTGCCCTACAACTGTGTACCTTTTTCTGTGCTTGCAACAAAAATCAGCAGACGTTGTTGTTTCGCTAATGCACTCCTTATTCCTCTGAAATCTGAATTTTGGATAGTTGTAGTGAGTTATACTGGCAGTAAAACAGCAGTGGTAAAATACAACAATTTATGATTAATGCCTGCTACATATTATACAAGGCTGTATGCAAAAAGGTTCTTGGAAACAACTGTGCAGTTTGACACTGTCAGGTGAAATGCAAGACCACAACAGGAGTTAGACAGCTATCAGTTTATTGAGAATATACTCACACTGCAATCAGCACGGGGAGCCCCAGTAACCGCCCAGAGGGCTGCAAGGGAAAAGTGGACAGCCTGGCCCAATCAAGGCTCAGTCCAGGGACATCCCTGCCTCAGCTTTGATACTTTTAATTTTTGACAACACATTATATCTATCTATATATATATATATATATAAAATCATGCCCACCTGGTTACACATCAAACAATAAAATGCTGCAATAATTAGAAGCCCAGGTCATTGTGACCTGATCATTATCAGTGAGGGCAGGATGTTTGCTTTGTGAACTGGTCTAGATCACGCACATCCAACCACATCCTTGACTCCTCGCCGATCTTCCAAGTCCTCCCCTTGCCACTTCTACGCCCCAATGTGGTGCATTTCTCTGTACAAACTGCAGGGACCAGGCTCCAGAACTTCAAGTAGATTATTTTATGCATAGTTTTTCTTTCATTTCAACCAGTACATTAGGAAAAAAACAACAACCCACAAAACCAAAAGACATCCTTGTGGTATAGTTATTTACACTTGCACCAGCACAGATATTTGTGCGTTAAAAGATTTATATACAAAAGTATGTTTCCTATTATTTTCCTATTTAAAAAAAATAATGTAGAAGTATTCTAAAGTTCCTTTCCCAATATAATCTGAAAAGTTATGCTGTGTTGTAGGAAGACTTATGAAATAATGTATGCAAACAAAGATTACCTGAAAATACTGCCTGAAGGAAGACAATGAGAATCAGAATGGCAATGTGCCATCAATAATGCTCAGAAATGCAGCTGTTTTGAGGTTATCATTTCTTTTGTTCACTTGGCTGTCTCTATTCTGGCTGATTCATATCAATTCCAAAGCAAAAGTCATCAATAAGGTGCTTCATTAAGACATGGAAAATAGTCTTCAGTCTTGAAGAGGACTGGAGGTTCATAGAGGGTCTGTTGTTGTCGTGAGGAAGACGATTTCTGCAAATCAGATAAGCTTATTTTTCACCTTCTTAAAAAAGCAAGTTTTAAAACAAAGCCTGCAGAGCTAAAATGCAAAACAGGAAAAGTTTTAAAGGCAACAGGTGAATTTTTAATCATAGCTCAGATGGGTCTGGCACATTCTTAATGTCAGTAAAGAAAAGCAGCCTTTTGACTTCTGCCATTCTATCACCCGAACAGACTCAGTCCTGGAAAGCATAATATATGCTGGCTTTGCAGGAGCCAAACAGAGAAGCTTTTCTAGCTGATGGTATAGTCATTGTAACCTGCATCCTTCCAAAGCCATATACCTTTACCTTTCCTGCTCCTGCTGAGCTTCTTCACCAAGTGTATGTTAGAATATAAGTACTATGATATACCATTAAAAAGAATACGGTAGTGGACTGCAAAAGAGCTGTTACACTGTTTTTCAGGAAAAGTGTACATGGTTTTTTTTAAATATTAACTGGACATTGTTTTGCTATACCAAGTGGCTCATTTGAAGAGACAACAGCAAGGACCACTACTGTTGTGTCAGCCTTCCTGCATGTAAATAATGCTGCACTGCAACACAGCCCCAGTGTATGTTTCCAATATATGGTCTTAAATAAAAGGCTTGGAATCAAGACTTCAATTCATTAAAAATTCTTTTTGTCTCACAAAAAGATTTTGATGAACTATATTGCAGAGCTCCCAGTCAATTTGCCTGCAGAGTCTTCAGGAACTTTTCTGCTTGTCTGGGATGAGGAAATTAAGAGTCTCCACCAAAAATAAAGTTAAAAGCATACCAAATATATTAGTATACTTGGAGTCTGGATTTTTTTTTACAGTACCAAAATAAGAATATAATCATGCATATCTACAAAACAGCTAGGTGGAAATCTTTCCAATATTCAGTTGAGCTGTATACTTGCACTCCATATGAAATCTCCTGTTATATACAAAATTTCTGATTTATGACATTTAATTTATATTTGTCTTTAACTTTATGATACCATTAATTTCTCTGAAATAAGTTTGTTTTGCCATTCAAGTTGTAATGAAATAAAAAAATATAAACAAAGATCAGATCTGTAAAGAATGAATATTATCAACGTTCTCTATATCCAAAATTTGCCCAATGTAAAAAAAATTAAAATATTTGAAATCAAAGTTCTGTTTTTAAAAATTATTCCCTGTCCTGTAATTCCCTTTGAGAAAATACCTTGCAAGCAAGGGAAACTAAGGTCACAAGTATTCTGCAACTCGTGATACTGATTTAAGAGGCATGATATTTGCATATGTACAAGGGGATAATTTTTTATCCAGTGAGGAAACTCATAGGCAAGCACAGTGCCCACAGATGCCTAAGTATATGTTTATGAACAGTTATTTTTGCAGCTGCTTAGCAGCCATTTTAAACTTTTGAGTGTGTCTCTACGTCCTTAGTGATATTAGAAGTCTTACAGTACTGTACTTTACACTGCCTGGTATTCACAAGGGAAGAACTTGGGGCAAAATCTGAAAGTGAGATTACAAATACAGATTTTAAGAATACAAAACATATGCTTTGTGTAAAGGAACAGATACATTTAAATGGGAAGGGAGTGAGGGGACTTGACTAAATTAAAATCGTAGCATGAAAACATGGAACTACAGCTACAGTGAAAATCATTACGTCGGTACAGCCTTTTGTCCACCAGACTGATACATTGGGTGAGCTGGTTAAATGTTAAGCCACAAGGAGAAACCTCTATAGGCATTTTCATTCAGACACACTTGTATTTACTAGTGAAAACAGGCATTTTACTGTGCAATACTCAGTACCACTGCAGAACAGGGACCTGTCTTTTAGTTACTCAGTTAATAGCAGGAAGTTCTGAGGGTTGATTTTAATGCTGTCCATACTCAAACCAAGAAACCACAGGACACACCAGGTTCAGCTTGCTGACGCTTTCAAAGACTTTCCAGCTTATTAATTGTGGAAAAACTGCCAAGCTGACAAAGTGTTTCCAGGCAACACTAAAAAAGCACTTTCTTGGAACTTTCAAACTTTTCAATTTAAGATTATAATTCGTGGTTGACAGCTGTTTTGAGCAATGAAATGGAAAACTCTGTTGAATATTCTTCAACACAGCTGCCGCGGTTTGTTTCTGCAATTAGCCCACAAATAGCAGCTTTGTGTGGGTTTTTTTTTAAAGAAAAAATGACACCACTCTAAACTTAAACACAAAAGAAAATGAAAAAATGAGAAGTTAACTAACTTAAAGACTGCACAGAAAATAGTAGTGAAGAACAGGTTTCCTGAACTGAGTCTTACCAAGACAATATGTATTTTTACATTTATTTTTTTTTCTGCTGCCACACATGCTTGCAGTATGTAGGATCACAAATACCTCAAACAGCAACAACCATCTTCCTCTCCCCTTCTGCAAACATACTTAAATTTCAGCATTCTCACCAGTGTTATGATACAAAGACCTGAGCTAGTACAAGCTGAATATAGGAAAAGACAAAGAAAAGAACCTGGAAGCTGACAAGACGCAAAGAAGAGGACTTATAAATGGTCTATGGGCAGGTGATGCCAAGAAGCACCAGGTGTTGAGAATATTTTAATTTTTTTAAAACCAGAAGGTTATTTTAAAACTAGGGTATAGTGCCAATTTAAGGCAAGGTAAGGCATCTCTTTGAAAACATACTAGAGAGAGCACGTTGAGTATTTTATAGCGAAATAGTCCACAAGTAGTAACAAGGAAAGAGAGAAAACTGCATCCTTAGCAAGTTTAACAAGGTGCCTACGCGATTACTGAACTGTGTGGACTGAGCATAAACAGAATCTTTATTTTTAAAATTTTGTGCAGTGTAGCTTTCATTTCCTTTTTTGTTAACATTTCTGCAGTGATATTATTTATGCAGTATGATCCTTTAACAGTGTCTGTACAGGCTCTTCCTACTTGCTTTGTATAACATCGAAGATCAGGGAAGCTTTAATATAAAGGCTTGTGCATTATGCACTTGTTTGTGCCCTTTGTGTTTCCTTCTTCATGTATTCAGTCTTGTTTTGGAAAATTGTAGGAAATCCTTCTAAGAATTTATGACTTTTAAGGTTTTTGGCTTAGGGTTTTGTTGTTTTTTTTTTTTTAATTAAATCTGAGAACTTTACAAAAATCCTAATACAGTCTATAGAAAGTTATATATTTAACTATACAGTTCATAAGTTTGTTACACATATATCTGAATTTATTATTTTAATCATCCACTCTGGTAAGCAGAGCAACTAAGCTGGTCACGTGATAACAAAAGCTTACTTACATTAAGGAAGGATGGTATGCTGATTGTGTGCAAGATTTTCTTGAATGTGCTTGGAAAAGCTCCAAGGTCTGTTTCTGCCTTTATGACCCGTTCTTCCAGTCCAGCTACGCTGTTTCCAATCATCTTCACAAAAGCCTAGTGTGAAAAAAACCCAAAGAAATCCAACATCTTCTCTAACAAATTAAAATATGATTAGGTATTTCATGACAGTGGAGAAAGTTCCATTACTGAAATGACGAGTCAAAAACTCCAAGCCCAACTTCCCTTCCACCTAAAATAAATCCATTTTATTGCTAAAAATTACTTGACACACCTAAAGGGCTGCAAAAATAGGTTAAAGCTAATAAAGCAATGAGTCTTCCTTTTCCCATTTGCCTTTCAAATAACTAATTTAGACTTCAATCTGCCTTTCTACTAAAAGTGGGACCAAGGATCTGAATCAGTTTTGAAGCTTTATGAGGGATCAACAGACCTCTCATTCTATTAGTCTCCAAATAGTTCCAAATACAATAACTTTAAAAGATACTGTTAAAAAAAAAGAAAGAGTGATACTATTACTTTCTGGAAAAAAAAAATAAAATAAAGAAGGCTGTCTTGCTTCAAGCAGTAAATTAAAAAAAATATATTTTTTTAAAAAAGTATTTTGTTTTAGAATGCCCACAGTCTCCAGAAATTCTTAATAAATTGTGTTCTCTTCATTAACCCTGAAGTATTGAAGCCAGACTGGACAAGGAGAGCAAAACGGATCTGAACCTGCTCCATGTGCATGCTCATGCACCAGACACACAATTACAGCACATTACTGATCCTTCCCCCTGTTGAGAAATGGAATACATCTAGAAGATATCAAATACATACCTCTAGTTTGTCAATCTTCCTGTATATCTGTCTCATTTCTGTAGCTTTTGTGTAAATTTGAGGTATACTTTCATTGACAACTTGAGAGGAATCACTTCGAATCTAAAATGATTCAAAGAAATAATACAAAAGTCAATGAACAAACCAAAATGTTAAGTAGCAGATTTCATTCTGGAAACTAGAACTGTGCTCCAATGAACAGATTAAAACCCTCAGTTTAAAAATATTGTATTAGTATAAAAATACTAGATTAAAACTGATAAGCTAGCTTCTTTGTACAGTTTAGTAAGTGTCTTTGAACAAAATTTAATTTTGCATAGGCAAATATTTACCTTTACAATTATATTAAAAATAGTCTGCCTCAGCCTTATCAGAGCTAAGAGATGGAACATTTTCCAAGACATCCTAAAGAATCAAATACATTAAACTAAAATTTTTACTTAAATTTTATCTCCTACCGAAAAAAAAAAAAAAAGGCCAGAATACAACACCTCTTTTTTTTTTTTTTTTTTAATTGGTTAAAAAACCCAAACAAACAAAGAGTGAAGTTCCCCTTAGAACAGTGCAGGAGAACAACATGTGCTATGCTTTAAAAGACAGCCTGTATACCAGTATCAGCTTATAGAAACTTCCCGTTCAGTTTCCCTGTCTCCTCCCACGCAAAAGTGAAAACAAAGCTGCCTGTCTGATGAACGGGTGAGAAAGGGTCTCCTGAAGAAAAACACAGCTTTGGAGGTTTGGCAACTCTGATTCGATACTTTGATTACAAAAGCCAGAGAGGATCTCTTTCTGTATTTTAAAGGAGAAACAGAATACTGTATTATCCTTTTAAGCATCTATTGTTACGCCATTCAAATCTGGATTCCATGTATGTGGACAAAAATACAAACAGAATTATGTAAATATATATACATATATATATTATATCATAGAATAGAATAGATTGGGTTGGAAAA